ATGCTGGCCGCCCCAACTCCGTCCCGATGCTGTCATCATGCCACATGCCCCACTGCACAGTACGCAGTGTCAGGGCATTCCCTTGGCACAACGTTTAGACATGCTGCACCAAAGGAGTGCAAAGGAGCCGCAACAGCGTCAAGGCAGCTTTTTGCTGCTCTAAAAAGTAGCAGCATTTGCCAGCAAAGAGCCGGATCGGGGCTGCAGTGTGCAGTTGCCGCAGCCCCAATCCAGTGCTCCTTAGGGGTTGTCTGTACGGCCCCTTAGTTAGCCTTACCATTTGTCCCAGAAAACCAGGAAAATCCTGGATTTAAGGGTCTGAAAAGTGTCCCAGAGGGCTAGACAGGTTGGAGCAGCAAATCTCACATTCCTCAACACAGGAGTGCAACTAACCACCACAACAACTGAAATATGTAGCACAGTAGGATCTCAGTATCTGCAGGGGATCCATTCCAGAACCCCCACGGATACCAAAAATCATGGATGCTCAAGTCCCTTTCTTCTCGAAGGTGGCACAGTGCCCGCATGCCCACTAGCATGGCTGCATCACTCACCACCATTGGCAAAAATGGGGGCTTGGTGTCCACAGATGGTTAAATCCACGGATGGCAAGTCCACGTATACAATGGCCCACTGTAAAACAATGTTAAATGTCAAAATGTGGTGTGGGTGGGTTGGTGGGTGTGGGTGGTTTTGGAGGGTTGTCAACAAGGCTCCCAATCAAGTCCAGTATACTTTTGTCTCAATATTGCGAAAGAGAATTAGGGCAACCCTAGTCATAGTCCAACACTCAAACCACTACACCACACTAGCTTATCACTTCTTGTTATTTGCCATCTGGTCAATTTCAACCTGTAGCAGCTCTCTGAACGAGAGACCTCCAAGAGCCACGGTCATCTACAGCCCTGCTGAGGTCTTGCAAACTCAGAGTGGCACCTGTGGCTTCATCCGCCTGTAATGCAGTCTCCATCTTTTTCTCCTGCTTTCTACCTTACCAAGCATCATTGTCTTTCCTAATGAGTCATGTCATCTCTTGATATGTCCAAAGTACGACAGTCACAGGAGTGAAGCAGATGGGTGGCAAGGAGTGGCCTCTGGCCGCTATAGCCACAGCTGGGCCATGATCAGGCCAGGACTGCATTGACCGCATGGTCCACTCTCAAAGCAGGTCATCACTGTAAAAAGGAGTTGGGATAATCTGGCTCCTGGTGGTGGTCGGCTTGGGACCGCGAGGGTGACCTGCTCTGAGAGCAGACCACGTGGTCCCTGTGGTCCTGGCCTGACCACAGTCTGATTGTGGCCGGAGTGGCTGGAGGCTGCTTCTGGCCGCTTTGAGGACATGTGTCATTTGAACGCCGCACCACCACAGAGGCCGGAAGCCACTTTATTTGGCCTGTGTGTCTCAGTTTAGTCTTCTTAGCTTCTAGAGACAGTTCAGGCTTGATTTACTCTTAGATCCATTTGTTTGTCTTCATGGTGGTCCCTGGTTTCCATAGATATCTTCCCCCAGCGCCACATTTCAAATAAACTCATTTTTCCCCTGACACCTTATTAACAGCTCCTTCTTTTTCTTAGCAGGCTAGCTCAGGTTTTGCAAACGCAGGGGCAGCTGTGGTTTTCTTGATGGAGCTAGTCCACCTGTGATGTGGTCTCCTTCTTTTCCTATAGCCTTCCACTTTTTTTCAGAATTATTGCTTTTTCCAGTGCATCACATTGCCTCGTGATAGGTCGAAAGTATATCTTCAGTTTAGTCATTTTAGCTTCTAGTGAGAAGTCAGGCTTGATTTGCTCTTGGGTCCCTTTATTTCTGTTTTTGGCAGTCCAGGCTATCCTCAGCACTCCCCTCCAGCACCACATTTCAAATGAGTTGATTTTCTTCCTATCTGCTTTCTTCACTGTGTAGCTTTGACAGAAATCAGATATACTAAAGCATGGATGATTCTGGTTTGGGGATTTAATGATACGACTTTACACTTGAGGATCTTATCTGGCTCTTTCATATGAGCTGCCCTTCTAGTCTTTTTCTGATTTCTTGAATATAGTTTCCATTATGGCTGATGACTGAGCCAAGGCACAGAAAATCTTTAATTGCTTCAGTGTCTTTGTTACCCACTTAAAAATTATGTAAATAATCTAGAATCATAGAATAATAGAATCACAGTATCCTAGAGTTGGGGGAGACCCCAAGGGTCATCCAGTCCAACCCTCTTCTGCCATGTAGGAAGATACCATCAAAGCACTCCCCAAAGATGACCATCCAGCCTCTGTTTAAAAAACCCTAAAGAAAGAGACATCACCACCCTCTGAGGCAGCATCTTCCACTGTCAAACAGCTCTTACTGCCAGGAAGTTCCTCCTAATGTTGTGCTGGAATCTCTTTTCCTGCAGCTTGAATCCATTGCTCCATGTCCTAGTCTCTGGTGCAGCAGAAAACAAGCTTGCTCCATCTTCAATATGACACCTTTCCAAATATTTCCACATGGCCATCACGTCACCCCTTAACCTTCTCTTTTCCAAGACAAACATCCCCAGCTCCCTAAATTGCTCCTCATAGGGCTTGGTGGTTTCCAGACCTTTGTATGCTTTGAAATAACTTACCCCACAAAGACTTTTATGAAAAGCCAGGTTTTGGCTTGTTCTCAGGAAGAAGTCAATGTTGGCTTCAGTCCGACCTTCAAGGGGAGGACATTCCATAATTGGGGGGCCACAGCTGATGAGGCCCTCCTCCTGAGTCCTCCAAATTGGTATTGCCCCTACCAGGAGGACACAGAGGACCTTTCTTGTAGACCTCACATCTGGGCTGAGTAAATAAAGGGAGAGACACTCCTTCAAGAGTCAAAGTCCCAAGCTATTTAGGGTTTCATATGTCATCCCCAGCACCCACAGTTCAGCTCTGCAGATTGCATTGTGCATTGTACATACAGATACCATTCTCCATGGCTGTCATCCAGTTCACATTGGGCTTCACACACAGTTCTCCAGTATTGCAATTCACACAGTCCACTACATAATTCTGTGAGGGTAAGGTTGCATCCCATCACCTTGATGTTCATTTGCTTTGGTTGTTGTTAACAAAAAGTCAAGTTGACTTTGACGTATGGTGACCCCATGAATGGAAGACCTCCAAGTCCCCCTTTCCTCAACTGCCCTGATGAGGTCTTGCAGACTCAAGGCTATGGCTTCTTTGATGGAGTCCATCCATCTGGAATGGGTTCTTCCTCTTTTCCTACTGTCTTCTACCTTCCCAAGCATCATTATCTTTTCTAGGGAGTCATGTCTTCACATGATACAGCCAAAGTACCATAATTTCGGTATAATCATCTTGGCGTCTTGGGAGAGTTCAGGCTTGATTTGCTCTTGGATCCATTTATTTGTCTTTTTAGCAGCCCAGAGGAACTCTTCTCCATCTAAGGCTGCCATTTGTCCCAGAAAACCTGGAAAATTCCAGATTGAAAGGACTAAAAATGTCTTGGCAGGCTAAGCCAGTTGAAGCAGTAAATCTCAGATTTCTCCTTTGTTGCAGGCTGATGTGTCGGTTAAAATGTGGCGATGAAGCAGGAAAGACTGGCACTGGTAGGCATCTCATGATGGTGGGAAAAGTGCAATGATTAAGGTGCTGAATTTCCATAATCGGAATGCAAACCAATGCTATGCATAATTATAATAATTTGCATAATATGCAAATTAGATACCCAGATATGAAGGATTGGAATATGGCAGCCCTATCTCCAGCACTACATTTCAAATGACTTCATTTTCCTCCTTACAGCTTTCTTCACTGTCCAGCTTTCACAACCACACATAGACGTGGCAAATATGACAGCACAGACCATCCTAACTTTAATATTCATAGAATCATAGAATTGTAGAATCATAAAGTTGGAAGAGACCCCAAGGGTCATCCAGTCCAACCCCCTTCTGCCATGCAGGAACTCTCAATCAAAGCATCCCAACAGATGGCCATCCAGCCTCTGTTTAAAGATCTCCAAAGAAGGAGACTCCACCACACTCCGAGGGAGCATCTTCCACTGTCAAACAGCTCTTATGAGAGAAGCTGAGAAAACAACAAG